TATATATATATATATATTCTTTTATGTATTGATTGGGAGAAAAAATGAATTAGATTAAAAAAATCTTTTACTCTTTTTTAATTTTATAAATGTTACGGCATAAAAGTGACTGTCTTTCATGTACAAAAACAAAAGCAGTTAACATCCATGCTAAGTCTCCTGTTTTTTTAATGAAGATTCCTGTATTTTAAGACTATTTCCTCTTTACCTATATATTCTCAAATTTCTCCATATTTGTTGAAAAAATTTTAAAAAAAGTAAAATTTTGATGATAAAATATCTGCTGATGGCAAAAATACTTCTTTTATTCCTCAACAGATAGTGCTATTGCCAGTACTGCAGTATGTTGAGTGTTAATAGTTTAAGTAATTATTAATAATGATATGGAAAAAATCTTTAGATAAAGATTTATATACATATTTTTGACATTGCTGAATGTAAGTGCTTATATAATTTCCTATTTTGAATTTCTCTTTTTGACTTACATGATTATGCGTGATGTATCAAAACTTTGCTTGTAACCTAAAAAATGTTGCTCGTAAAATCTCACTATTTTATTTCTCCAATGTTTTGCAGGTATAGGTTAAGTACTTAAAAAAAAAAATGCATGTTGAAAAAAAAATTTTCAGATAATTTTTTCTACATATGTCTTTAAATTGTCAGAAAGTTAATATAATGTCAGTGAAATGCCATTTCAAAACTTAGAAACTGAATTACTTTTTTCTTAATATTTTATTATTTGCATATAATTTTTTTAGGGGTTCATGCCTCCCGCACTCATCTTTGTACAAAGCAAAGAGCGAGCCAAGGAACTCTATTCTGAAGTTGTTTATTATTGTCAACGAGTTGGAGTTATACATGCTGATCTTCCACAAGATGAAAGAGATTCTGTTGTTGAAAAGTTTGAATCCAGTAAAATTTGGGTCCTGATTTGTACTGAGTTAATGGCAAGAGGAATTGATTTCAAAGGAGTTAATCTAGTTATCAATTATGATTTCCCAGCTACAGCTATAGCATATATTCATAGGATAGGTAATTTTACAATAAAAATCCAATTTCATGAATTTTAAGTATCTTCTATGTGTCATTTTGTTAAATTATCTGGAATCTAGAGATCTGTTTTTTTTTGTTTAGAGCAATAAATAAGAAATATAAATACAGGTTTTTAAGTGATCAAAATTAATTTATTTGTTAATAGATTTATTTACTTTATTAAAAAATTAAACTTTGTCCTTTTTTTTGCAAAGATTTTTGTAAAATTTATTTTTGTGGCATTTTTTGTAAGTAAAGATAAAAATAAAATGCTAAAGGAAGTTAAACATAAAATAAGACTTTTTCTTATTTTACTCATTTTAAAATCATTGGAATAGGTCTGTGCTCCCCAATACTGATTTGGCTATATACCAGTATATTTGGCAGCTAAATAGCTGTTACTATTTTTTTTTTCTTTAAAAATAATAATAAATACTTTTAATACTAAAATTACACATTATTATTAAAGACTAATTAACACTATGTGTTACAAATCTCAACATTCATGTTGTATTTTTAGGTAATAATTTAAGTTTGGTTTTTTTTTTTTTAATGAAACAGTCAATGTTTTTTAAAAATCTAAATAGTTAATTTAATGTGTAATTTTTTTTTTATGTTTAAGTTAATTCAATCCCGCCTACTATCAGATCTCATTGCTATTTTTACTTTATCTTTTACTGAGTGAATCTTTTTTGTAAATTTGAAATATTTTTTTATTTATTTTTCTCTACAACAGGACGTACTGGAAGAGCTGGAGAAGAAGGAAAAGCTATAACTTTTTTCACCACAGATGATGTTGAAAATTTGAAAAGGTTCTAATTTTTTTTTCACTATGTAAATTCTAAAATTCTTCAAAATCGAATTAAAAAGTTTTCAATATTTTACTGATTCATTTTATGTACTTTTAAAATATTTCCAATTTAGTTTTTTTCATAGTTTTTTTTAATTATTCTTTAATGAGTGTTTACCTTATCTTCTTAAGGTAAACACTCATTCCACAAGACTGAAGTGATTTTTCTCCTATTTGTACCAGATAGTTTCTAGTATTGTTTGGTTTTATTATGAAGAGTTATATCAATAATTTTTAAATTTTAATATTGAGTTAGGCACAGCATGGCTACCTTCATTACTTTCATTACCTGTATTATCAAACTTTATGTTCAATCAATATTGAGTCTCATTGGATGCTAATGACTGGATAATTTATGAAATTCAGTTTTAAATTAAATAAATTTAAGTTAATAATTAGAATACAGCCCCCAAGTATTACTGAATAAGTAAATTTTTATTTGGTTATAAAATTTTTTTAGTAAGATTACAAACAAAATCAAAATAAATTATTATTGGTTTTCTTATTCCTAATAAAATCTATGTTATTAATCTTAAAATTTATTCATAGCTACCAACCTTATTGGATTTACCAGTAGACTACTGGATTTTGCCAGTTTGTCTTGGTATACTAGTTTCATAAGAGTTCATCTGAGTTTTGTTCATTTTAGAAAATTCCCTAAAATTAAGTTAGTTTCCTGAGAAAAAAATCCCTATTGAAATAGAATTTTTGCACAATTTATTGCTTGTGTGAATATTTAAATAAGTATTACTCATATATAATGAAGCTAACCTCATTTATAGTAATCAATTTAAAGCTTTCCTTTTTTTTTTGTTCTAAAATTTTCTGTTTAATTTTATCTAGAACTCCTTTTTTAAATTAATTAAAAAATATAACTCTCAAAAATAAATGTCTATTACTATTCAAAATAAGTTAACATTGAAAGAAAAAAAAACATTTCTAGTTCATTTAATGTTGTTCTTAAATGGAAAATATTGCAGACCACTTATAGATATTAGTGCAATAAAGTTCTTGTATTTTGATGACAATAAAATTCCTTATATGTAAAATATTTTGTTTATTATTTAATTAATTTTTGTTTATTATGTAAAATATTTTGTTTATTATATCATGAAATTTATAGTTCGTAAAATTAACTGGATTTTTTTCTGATTACGTAGGCAGCTATATTTATATTATTAATGAATAAATTTATATTAATCTATGTAATTAAATTTGAATTTGTATATTCTCACACTTTGCAAAATCATTTGAATAAAATTTTGGATTTTGTGTTGTTCTGAAACTTCCCTTCCTTTAAAACTTTTATTCCAATGATAGTTCAAACATACATTTATTATGTATAAGAGAGATAGATTTTTTTTATTGAAGTTATTTATTGTATTACATACATATTTCAAAATTTCTCAGTAAACTTATTGAAATTGTAGAATCTAAAGTTTAATTAATATGATTTTTCAGTATTGCTCAAGTGATTAAAAATGCTGGATGTGAAGTCCCATCATATATCATGAGTCTGAAAACTAAAAAGTAAGTATAGTATTATTAGTATAAACTTCTAACATTATTAAATATTTACAATATCAGTATAACCCATAAGAATCATGAATTTTTTATTTTTAGGTATTATTTTAAAGGTTATAAACATATTTTTCTTAATAATTGCTTCTTTTTAATTTAAATTTTCATAACAATAAGTTTGTTGAAATGTCTTAGTTTTAAATCTTTCTAACTAGTAGACTTAAGAGTTTTTATCTAAATATTGTGATTTTAAATTGGATTGATATTAATTGTAGGAAGAAGAAAAATGATATTGTAAGACCGATAAAAAGGGAAAAAATATCCACTTCTACTGCTTATGATATTGGGAAAGTTGGTAAAAAGAGGTAATTATTATATTCTGTTTTAATATTGACATTTTTTCATTTAATAAAATATGCTTAAACTTAAATTTTTGTTCTCAAACACTAACTTAGAAAGTAAATCTGTGTAACAACTCTATTATTTCTTAGCATGGAAAGGCACATTGTGCAATAAATATGGTAGATTATTCATCATTTTTAGGAACTATTTCCACTGTTTCAGCCTTGTCTAAATTGCTCTAATCAGTTTTAGAGTTTTTCAATAGTATTTCATATAAAATTTTATTTCAATGAAAGAGCAAAATTCTGCTGACAATATTTTTTATTTCAATTTTTTTTTAATTTAACTCTAAATCATATGTTTATATGAGGCTGAATATTATTCTTGGAGTATCTAATTTTAATTCAGTCATGGTTTTCATAAATAGACATAAGCATACCTACCAACTTTTACTCTTTCCGAGAATGGATTTTCAGAGTGGTTGTAAAACAATAAACGAAAAACAATCTGACTCAAAAATATATTTATATTTTGATCCCGTTGAAATTCGATTGCACAAGGATTATTATGCTTTTATATATTTATTGTAATTATTTATATGTAGTGGTGGTCAAACTCATTTATAATTATCATTATAATTCAAAAAGTTAATTGGAATAACACGAGTATTGCTACCACTTTAAATATGAAAATAAAATCTTCCGGAAAATCTGGAAGAGTTGGCAGGTATGCATAAGGAGGGGGTATAATCTGTGCACTTTGTTATTTAAACAGATTGAACTTTTTAAACTCTTTACACATAGCAGTAGCTTTTAAAAATGAACACATTTCACCAACTGTGTGTTACAAAAAACACTTTCTAGTACACTTTGTTCCAAATAGTTGGGGTTGCTTCGCCAAAAAAAATAGTTTGGTTTTCTTTATGTTATTCAATAAAATAACAATATTTGGAATGAAAATTTTTGTTCAAATTTACCAGAACTCTGCTTTTAAAAGCATAATTAATAATGCAATGTTACAATAGATAAACATTTTCCTCAAATATTTCTACTTACGAAGAAGAAAAGTCTTGTTTCTTTACTTGTTGTGATCTGTTTTAATAATTTCAGTTTGTATGCCCTCATATTAAACTTTATCCATTTTTTTTTTCAGAACTGTAGTTTATTCTAAGTTGAAAAGAGAAAGTTTTTTAAGAATATAATACCTGTAATTCATCAACAACATACTTCAGGCATTTTAAAACCCATTTATTATTTCGTACAGACAGTTAATATTTGGCATTTTATTTAACCACCAGACAAGATTCAGTAATTTCTACCTTTGTTTCATATCATATTGCTAACCCTCCAACTGCAATTGCTAAATTTTCAGTACCTTCTCCTGGTAAATATGAAAAGTTCCACACTGTTGGGCTGAATAAAGCTAAAATAAAATACAAAAAATTTTATATCATTCAAAACATTCATTTATTCTAAATATGTTAAACTAGATTACTTGCATTTTTTCAAAATTTGTAATCTTCCCCTCTCCCAAAAAAATAATCTATTACTGTTAATTTTTAATATAAAATATCTATCTTACATTTAAATGAACATTGTTGTTTTATGTTATTAAAAACTTTGTTATGAGTAAGAAAGGCTGAAAATGTGTTGAATGAGATGTAAATTATGTATTAAATTAATTTTGAATTGGGCATAAAATTGTAGTTAAAAAAAGCGTGAAAGTGTAAACTCATAAAGCAATATTAATAATGATAGCATTCAAAATTTTCTTATGTTGATTTGCTTTAATGATCATCATGAAAAAAATATATATAAATTATTTTTTGCAATAAATAAAGGGAAAAAATTATTTTAAGAAAAATTTTTAGAAATTGAAGTTCAGCTGAACCAAAATTTTTAGTGTCACATCTAACAAAAATTTTAATGGGAAAAGTTGCCATAAATCAATATTTGCATAGAGTTAACAACTTAAAGTTTTAAAGATCTATTTATTATGTAGAGGTTGTTGAAACCATAAATAAAATATAACATTTTCTCATTGAGACTTTGAATCCCAACAGTAAATAAAACATTATACTAACTTTAAGGAAATAAAAAAAATCCAATTTTCATAATCTGTGCACCTAACATTTCTTAAAATTTATCACAAAACGCATTTTGACTTCAGATATTTCTAAAAATATATCAAATTATCTACCTTTTTCATTTGCTATTTCAAAATTGAAAAGTAGTTTAACTTATGGGTTTCCCAATCTAATTTTTCCTAAACTAAACCAAAGGAACTGATTTAATATTTTTTTTTTTTTAAAGTATATTTCATGTTTATTGTGCTTTTTTCGCCTTGTATTATTTTATTTATTACGATTTCCAGCAGAACAAAAATTATAAAAAATTACAGAGCATGATTGATTGTAAATTTCAATAGTTACAGAAAAATAGCATTATGTAAGAAAAGAATGGTAAATGTCCATGAAAACTGATTCTAAGAGAAAACTATTATTGAGGAGGATTGGACTTTTTTCTGAAAGATGGACCTAAACCGTTCTTTCCCCTTGATCTTCATATATTATGAGCACTATTAATGCTATTTTAGAAATAAAAAAGACTTATCACATTTAATATTTCACATTTGATTGATTTTATGAAAGTTAAAATAGTTTTTCTGATAATCCTTTGTTTTGAATCCAAAGTCTACCTATCATATCTGTTATCTGCTTGATTATTTCATACTAAAATATGTAATATTCTATCATAGTTATTAAATTTGTTGCTTAATAATGTTTCTGTAACACTATTTTACAAATAAGAATACAGTAAAGATAAAATAAAAAAAATATACTACATGTTGCATTTTCTACTCACCGATTTCTCCTTCTTCAAGTGTATCTTCAATTACATTGCATGTAGTATGACAAGGGTTTTTAGGTAGGAACTGAATATTATTATAACCTCTGATTTGAGCCACCCACATAACTGTGACAGAAGGCATCACATCAATCTAAAATGAGTTAAAACAATGAGTATTTTTTATTCTGATCATTGCTCATATGTCATTAAGAGACACTCATAATTAAACACATACATTATTTGCTTATCTGTGTGGTTGAGACTCACTTCTATAAACTAATTTAATTCCAATTAAAAAAAATCTATGTAAACTATGTAACATATGACTATGTAAGCAAAATCACATTTGTAGACTAGATAATCAGTAAAGTTAATTAACTTCTCAATTTTCATAATAACCTGTAGTTAGCCTGGCTGCATTGATCATAAAAGCCATTATTAAATTAGTTTAGCCAGTATAAATGGATAACTATGGAATTAATGAAATCTGTGCTACATAATACCTTGCTCATTATGTAAATAATTTATGGTTGAATTAAATTTAAAAGTGCGCTTGTTAAAAAAATATTTGCTCACGATATTTATTTTATAGGGATAATAAAACTTTCCTGAAAAGAAAAGGTGAAAATGAGCCTTCTCGTGAAAAGAAAAAGTCGAAAAAAACTGATAATTCTGATGCTCATTCAACTAAAAGTTCAATGAAGAAGAAGAAAAAGAAACTGAAACCTGTTGATTAATTACTCTATTTTACATTTATGTATATATTTGTGTAAATAAATTTTTTTTGTTAGTTATCAAAACATAAAAATGCATTGATTAAATGTTACGAATTTGAAATTATTAAAATTACTTTTAATATTAGAAGATGAGGAACAGTCTTATTTGACATATGATTTTAAAAAAATGTTTTTGATAAAAAGAACAAATTTTGTGATCTTTTTTGAAAAGCAGAAAAATATACTTACTTTTTTATATTTCCTTCCAATATAGTTGGAAGACATAAGAATCCAATTTGCTTCTGTCATCTGCACAACTCCTGGCAGAAAATATGGTCTTGCATAAAATTTCCGAACAAATTTCTGAGTAGATTTTTCACAGTTTTCCCTTTATGAGAAAAAATGTAATTAAGAATAAGTAAATTTTATTGTGGTTAAACATTCAAATTATTGGTTATATATATATATAATCGCAGGGGTAAACAAGGATATTTTTTTACACTAGTAGGAGGATCAAATGACTAGTATGTAAAGATGGAGAAATATTCAGCTCGTCATGCAATGTTTGGAAAATAGTTTTAAACATTTTTGCCCTATCAAAATATGGTAGATAAAATTAATTTTTAGTTTTACTGTTTAAAAAATAGGATTTTTAAAAACATTGTAGTTGTAAAAAGTTATATCCATACTTGCATTTAAGTTTTAATTCTTTAGTAGCTCTTACCATGTTTAATTTTTTGTGTAAATCATTCATTAAGCTAATATACTTGTAAATTCCCCTAAAATAATATCTTAGATTATCTTAATTGAAAAAAAAAGATGCTTTTATAAAGGTTTCTAAATACAGTTCATGATTTTATTAATTAAATGTGTTATATGGTTTAAACAATCTATAGTACTTAACACATACTGAAAAAAAAAAGAGGAATATATTTGAAATTACGCGTAACTAACAATTAATCTGTAAAATTTATACTGATGGAATATTAATTATTGTTCTAAATTGATGAAATTGAATATAAACCATAATATTTGTTTTTCTGATTTGAGATAGATACCGTGACATAGGCTTTTATTGGTCTATTAAAATGTTACAACATATCTTAAATCAAATCAGAAGTCTCAATTTTGCGGTCTGCAACCTTTATTTATTTAACCTGCCATGAAAAGAATTTTCTACAATTGTTGATTAAGGTTAATTCTTTATTTTTCTTCTTTCTAAAACCTTTCTTTAATTTATGAAGTTTATAATTTTCATCGTTAGAAACAATAATACCAATTGTAAAGCATGATAAGGGATGTCCACATATACTAATTTAAAGGTGAGAGCTGAATAAAATATTTAAAAAAACTATCGTTCATTTCATTTTTTCCACACAGTTTAGGACTGACGTGACATGCACACCTGGTCCTTGTTCAATTTAAACAACTATGTTGTCCCCATTCAAAAATGTATTCTAAAAATTTTAATTTAACCCACGTCTTGCAACAACACATCTATTGCAGACTGAAAACTTATAGAAAAAGAAAAAAAAACTACTTTGGTGTAATAGCAGCGATGCCAACTTGCTCCGGACAGCAAATATATTTTTTAAAGTGGTAGTTTATCAATTGTGATTCTTGGTTTAATAAATTCAATTTAGTAGATTTTAATCAACCACTATTTCTAAATAATTCATAGGCTTATAGAATTCACCAGTTTATACTACTTATGTCATGCTATACCTTTTAAAAAGCAAGCAAAAATATTCAAATATTTGCAAAATTTGCTTTGTAGTTATTTACCCTTTTTTTAAAATTATTTTGGCGTATCCAGAGCAGTTGGCATCTCTGTAATAGCCAAGAAAATGTATAAATGTAAAGAAATTGGTTCTAGACACTAAGCGTTTTTAACAGTAATTACCATTACTTAATGACGGAAACCACAAAATTGAATTTACTAACTTCAGATCCGACACTTAAAAAGAGTTCCGTTAACTAGAAGTCATTGTATGTACTTAATACGTTTTTATTTAAAGTTTTCTGAATAATTCAAAGTTAATTTCATTTAAAATTAATTAGATGGCCCACTTTATTTTATAATAATAGAGTCTTTTTAGTGATGCATCTAGTATTTAGATGAAAGAATAGATGTGCTGGAGTTATATATATGTATAGTAAAATTAAATTAAAAAGTTTTGTTACGATGATTTTCATTATAAATAGCTGATCTTACCAATGTGCATACCACTTTTGAAGATCTTGACTTAGTAGTTTTTGAAAAAGCATCTGATGATTCTCAACATTTAAGTTAGACTGAAACATGCAAACATCTTCATCCAGATGATAAAAACCCTATAAAAATATTTAATTATCATATTTCTTGCATAGTTTTTATAATATTTTTTTGTTTTAAAGACTTTATTTAACACTATTCACAGAGTTTACACATTTAATTAAACTAATGCACTCTAAAAACTTTACAATAATATATGTGAATGTTATGTAAAACAGGCTTTAATTAACATCATATGTTTAAAAGTAAATGTATCATATCTATGTTTACCTTTATATTTTCGATTCAGTTTGAGATTTTTGGTATTTTAATTAAATCTTAATTAAAATCTTATTGCTCACTAAAATTCATATATTTTTTTCATATGATAGAATTGCAATATTAGTGTAAATTAGAGACCAAAATTTTGTCAGCCTCTACTTTTTGGGAAATTAAACAAAGAAAACAACCACCAAATTGGAAAAAAACCCTTTAGATTATCTTTCAGTTTATTTTTTCTCTCGAGAACTCTATTTGTAGTAATTGTAATACTAAGCAATATTAACTCAATTAAAAAAAAAATTCTCAGCATTTCACTATAAATTTTTTGTAATCAGGAAATCAGAAATAACAAACTATGCTAAGTACATTTTAATCTCAATATTTTGCCTAATTTACAGAATGAAATCAACATTATTGAAGGATTTATAGATATGTATTAGGGAAGTTACTTAAGACAAAATAATAAAAATGATTTATTATAGGGAGGAAAATGCGTTTTCCTCCTATTGTATTACATGTTTTTGAAATAAAAAGTCTTGAGTCATAATTGTTATTATCATCCCTATTTTAATATCTTTAAAGAACTAATATTAATAAGTAACTTTTGCATCAGGATCTATTAAAAACACCTAAGGTACGCTAAACACAAAAAAATTAAACCCCTTTTAAATTTAATTCTGTTTAAAAAGTTCTTCAAAAATAAAATATATAAGTAAATACTTTGACCCTTGTTTACTATACTGTCTAGTTAGAATTAAAAAACTTAAAAATCATTCAACCAAAAGTTTTTAATCTTACCTCAGTCATATTTAAAATATTGAAAGAATCTTGCATGACAGACCAATCAAACATTGCATCTCTTACAATAACTGGAATATTTCTTTGCATGTAATATTGTGAGATCTCTTCGGGTGAAGTCCGATTTAAATAGTCCACATCAAAAACATCTTCACATACCTAAAATATTAAGAAAAAAATGGCAAAATATTGAATATACTCTAAAGACACATCTTGCTTTATTATAATTGTGGCGGGAGTAGGCTGGTTAGACCCATGTCCAAGAGGTCGTGAGTTCGATCCCCATCAGGCTGAAGACTCCCTGTATAGTAAATGGTGCAAGTTAAACTTATCGGGTCATAAAGTCCTCCATGTTCCCATAACAAATCAATACCTCTGGGGGTACTGAATTAGAGGTTGATGGTTGTTTGGTTCAGGTAAAAATTACAAATAGTGGATGTATGAATGGGTTCACCCTATAAATGGGCTGTGAAGTGTGTGTGTCTGAAATTGTATTCTTGCCCATAGATGGCACCACTGAAATACAAACACACCCTCTGTCTTAAATTTACTTGGTTTCACCAAGTGGGCTTGCTGGTTGGCAAGTAGCATTAAAAACAACAACATATTTAATTTATGAATGAATTATTACCAGTATAAAGTTAAAAATGGCACTAATGAAGAAATTGGTTAAAATACTTTAGTGTTTTCATTAAAAATGAAATTGTGTGGAAAAGTGTGACAAAAATTAACAAAGACCACTTTGAAGTTGATCAATAGTGGAAACATTTTATTAATTCTTTTATGTGAAAATTAATGAAGTCTATGATACAATAAGAAAATATTAAGGGAATATGAAGATTAAGAAAATTATATAAGAAAATATTTAAATTAAGGAAAATAAATAAAGTTAAACAGTTATGATCAAATATCTATTTTTAAATATTTTTAATAATTCATAGATTCAAAATTGCAAATTTTTATTACAGTACCTTGCAATCAAAGATAAGTACTTCTTCATTTGAATAGAATGGATTTTCCAATAAACAATTTTCAGAATATAATTCAGTCCAGTCCCAAAATGGTAAAATCTACAAAAAATAAAACTGAAATAAATATCTTTCTGAAAAAAACATCTACGATTTTAATTTTTAAAATTAATATTATGAATGTTTATAAAACTAAAATTTTATGTTAATCGTGTGACTTAATATACTACAATTAAAAAATAACGAAACATTCTGTAACTTTTTCAATTATAACACTTTAATAACTATTTTCAGTGAGTCATTTGTTAACTTCAATAAAATAGTAGCAAAAAAAAATTTCTCAGTATATATTTTTTTCATTCCGTTATATATATCTATATATGTGTGTGTGTGAAAAAAAACAGTATAGTAATTATTAATATGAAGATTTTTGTTGCAAGAAAAAAAGTTGGTAATACATTTATAATGTGTACGATTTATTATTAATAAAACCGGTTTAGGTGATTATTTTTATAAAATTTTTAAAGCATATATCAGAATTTATTAAATTCAGCAATTATTACCTTAAACATAAAATATCTCGTATTCGTCAAAAAAGATCTCGAAACTGTGTCAGAACTCAATGTGTATGAAATGGCAAGACAGCATATGCCAATCTTAAGTAGCATCAGAAACTTTCTTTTCCATTCTAATTTTTGTACGGGCAAAATTAATGGCTTTGCCTTCTCAACTATCTCATCATGAGTGAGACCAGCAGCTAAGCAATATTCGTACACAGTCAAAATTTCATTATTAATTTCTGAAAGCGCATTTCTTCCATTCTTGTTTGACATTTTGACAGGTTTTACCGATCGGCTGTAGACGATACGAAAACTGAAACTAGGTTGGCTGTTGCCAACAAAAATAAAAAATCTATAAGAACTGCAAAGTAGGCACGAAAGCCGAGAGATAATAAGAAGCACACTTGACAATGGATGGTGTTTTCAATTCGCGATCGCAACGAACTATAGGGGGCGTTGTTGTATGAGACTAATACCTGCGATTTCTATATGAACTTACTCTAGAGACGTCGTTAATGTAGCACGTAGCATTGCAACGTTCCTACTTTATTGTGGCTAATTAAATTTAAAAA